GGGAAAGAGCATTTATATGACTCTTGAGGTTAAAAAAAACCAAACAAAAAAAACCCTAAACAAAAACCTCAAATCAAACCAAACAAAACCAATGCACTTTCCTTAATCTTTCCTCTTCACTGATGTTGTGTCCTAGATTGATTGAGTCAGGTCTTCTTGCAGCAGTGCTTCTACATCTGTCAAATTCTTAAGTCAGTTTCTTTCCTTCCCAATACTGTAGTCTCTACTTTTCATCTTTTATTACCACTTAAATTCAACAACACTGCACAAAATGTGCCTACAGAATTTCTGACGGAAGTAACTTATTTCCTTAAATCACTCTGTTTTGTACATTTATCTGTTCATCCACAATTCAGCAAACCATAGGTGGAGGAAGAACAAGATGACAATTCAAAAGCCAGTATATAAACTACTGATCTAAGAAGCAGGTGCCACTTCTCAGCAAGCACTGCTATCATTATGCTAAATATCTGCCAGGTGTTCAGAAACACCACCAGTGTTGAGTTTCTGAAAGTTGCCTGGGTCTTCCTGTATTGAATCTTCCAAATAAGTGGTTTTATGGCAAATCTTAAAAGACAGTGTACACTTTACATTAACAAGGAAAGCAAACCAGGCAGAGCAAAACTACTGGTGCCAAGAATGGCTTCTGCACTGTAAACACCTCCCAGACCAATTTTAACTGGAAGGAAATCAATTCATATGCTCCAAGCCTGCTCTTACACGTGAGCAAATATATGCTGACTAGGGACAGTCAGAGATCTGCTTCCTAGTACACTTTGATCCCAACTAGAATGCTAACATACATGTCCAACTCTCCAACAAATTCCAGTATCTGCTCTCACTACTTAGAGGATGGGTCCTTTCTAGGAAACAAAACCATTTACCAGCTAGGAAAATCACTAACCAGCTTGGTGTTGAAAAGGAGATTCCTTCTTGAAGAGATTCTTCTGTTCATCAGCAAGATATTCTGTAGGAAACACTGTTTCTTTATTGTTTTAGGAGAAAAGTTTAATGACATAGGTTAGCTAAGTAATTTTTCATATGCAGTAAAGCAAAAAACACAGTAAAGAGACATTACATTGAAAATACAAAATTTACATTGGAAGAAAACATTGTAAGGGCACCGCAAAGGCAAAAACTCTCTTATCTGATGTGACCCGAACAGACAAATACACAGTGACTACATGCACCCAGCCAGCCCACGTGCCAAGGTTACAAAACTCAGTAAACACTCTTAGATTCAGATATGCAGAACTCACGTTAACATTGGAGTTTGAAGGAATTTTGTTCTGCCAAAGGTTCTGTGAAGTCCACTGGGATTCTGCAATATGCTATTTTAGACAGCTGTGCCCAAGCTCTGAAATTTACTTCACCTTGGTCACTGCTGCATGCTACTACAATTACTCTCGCACCACCCCTACTCTCACCCTCCCCAAGCATTACTAATCATAGGGATTTTCGAGCTATGCTGTGGACATAGAACACTCTGAAGTCAAAGCATCTTAATTATTCTGTGGGATGCATCAATCTACTCCCTTTCTATTATCTCATTGGAATTTCCTTGTTCCAGCTTCTTCCTACAGCCCTATCCCTGAGCACCTCCTGGACATCAGCCTCGTTGGCTCTTCCAGACACACTCCAGTGTGACAGTGACTTTCAGTACTGCAGGGTCCAAAAATGGACACAGTACACCAGATTCAGTCTCACTAAAGCCTAACAGAGGGGAAGGATCACTTCCTGGACCTGTTAGCTACCTTCTAATACAGTCCGTGGAAAACCCAACACGCTCAGTTATTGTTAATCGATTTAGGACAATGACCTGGGAGACAATCCAGGAAGCCATGAGAACTGCCAGAAAAGCATTCTCCAGCAGAAACTATGAGAGGGACCTGTAATAACCAGAAGTCAAAGAGTATCATCCATGCAAACACAGGAACTTAGGACCCTTCTTTGAGAGAACTTCTGAAAAAGTTACTGCTAGCTAAGCTGAAGGAGGACAAAAAAGAAATGATGCTACCTCAAAGGATGAGAAAGGAAAATACAAGCATCATTAAGGAATTCATATGAGCTGAGGACAACTACAAATACACATCCTAATAAGAATGACATCAATAACATCATGCTTGACAATGGAGGATTGAAAGCATCAGGTATTAAGAAACTTACTTTCCAGGTTGTCTTCAAGTATTTCTTCTATTATGACATCAGGGCTGGATGGAGCCTTGTGTAGAGCAGGAATTCTCTGATCATGTGTCATAGGAACTGTTTCTTGTGGTTGAGTATTTTTCATTCTGTAAACATGGAGTTTATTTTCAAGATCCTTTATTTTACTTTCTCTGTCAAGTACTGGAAACATATTGTCTACAGATGATTGAGTATCACAGCCTGGCGTTTCTTCGTTATCAAAGATGAGAGTGTGTTGTCCATTATCTTCACTATATTTGGGAAAACATTTATATAGAGACCAATTAACATAACTCAGCCTGTTTTCAGAAAAGCACATGAGCCAAAGCAGAGGTTTTTTTAAGAATATGAAACCATGATAAGAAACCAAGAGCTGGTTGAAATAAACTGTTACGGTTTTGAATAACAAGACAACAAAAACAGTAATGTGATTTCCGAAACCGAAAAAGGAAGTACCCCTGCTTAAATGATCAGACACCACAGAACAAATACAAAGTATTTTAAAAAAATGTTAATGTGATAAATAGTTAATGTTAAAAACAAAAGGCATGTCAGATGCTTTTGTGCTAACAGTTACTCTTCACTGTAATCTACAGGTTTTTAAAGTATTACACAATGCAGTAAGCCTTTCTTAACATAACCAGCACTAACTACGACAGCTCTAACAGCGACTCCACTCCATTTTTCTCAAGTTTTTTGTCAAAGACTGCAGGGAAAAGTTAATAACAGGACTAATAAAATAAAAGCAGTTGTAATTTAAAAAATGAAAGTTTTTTTCTGGTTCATGTTAAGTAATTTCTTTTGGCATCTGATGCAATCCGTATTTAGACTGCGAGGTGGAAACACTATAAATTTCAGTATTTGCTGTTGATTTTATTGACATTTATATCATTAACTTTTTACACACGGAAATGATCAACATCTCTGCTACATGTACTAGGAATATGCAGACATGGTTCTTAGTGACATGGTTTTGTGGTGGACTTGGCAGTGCTATGTTAGCTGTTGGAATTCATAATCTCAAAGGTCTCTTCCAAGCTAAATGATTCTGTGATTGTATCATTAAACACCAGCCAAACCTGAAAAGCACACAGAATAAAAAAATCTTGATAACTTAATGATACTGTGAAGTATAGTTGGGTGAAACACACGTAAAACTGAAAAGTCAGAACTGGAAGACTAACTGAGTTAACTGGAATGCTGATGCAAATATCAGCATCTGAAGTTTTGCTTTGATTCACTATACCCTTAAAAATGCCAAAGCACATTTATTATTACATTAAATATATTTTTATATTTAATCTCCAAGATATTTTTATATTTAATCTCCAAAAAATATTTAACCTTTGGAAGAACATGTAAGTTACCGTACCTATCCTCTTTATTAAAAAAATACTTACTGCTCTCCTGTTCCCCATTCAATCTTGCCCAAATTTGCCAACAAAGATGTGATTTCATCAGTGTTTAGCAAGAATCTCAAAAGAAGAGAAGAAACATTACAGAATGTGACATGAATGTCTGAAACACTCTGATAGTTTGAGATCTATGATATTTTTCAGGACAATATTCATAGAGGGACCAACTATGAGATTAATTGCCTACTCCAATTTCATTCTTCCACTCCTACTAACAACAGATTTGGCTACTCATTTATTTTCACATTCATACTTAAAAACTCCCTTGCCTTCTGCTTTCTCTCTCATGTGGAGAGTACTCCAATACTCAATCGCCGAATTTTCACACCTAAACCCAGTTTAGTTCAATGAATTATTCTGCTTGGAGAACTCTCCAACAGTCCAGAAGAACAAAAAACTCTAAATATAACTTCATTCAATTGAATTCTCAGCTTTCCTGTCCCATTATAATGAATGATTTGTGAAAACTGAAGTATAAGCAGGATCAACAGCCCCATCTTTTCTTCCCCTACCCACGTCTTCAAGAACTTATCCACCCTTTCTTCTACTGTACTGTATGTCTATAGAATGTGCCTCAACTCCTGCCTCAATTGGCAAATAGTTCCAATTTTTTCACCTTTGGCATTTTTTGGAGTGGCACCAACATGTGAGGCCTTTATACTTTCCCTCCTCAGATCTCTTTTTCCCCCATTTTGTTCAAGTTCTTAAAAGGTCTTTGACTGCAAGCAAATCTGATTTTGTCATGTTTTAGCTTTCTTGTAGGTTAGGAGAGTTTGCCATTGTGCACTTAGGCCTCTCAGAAATTCTCATTCACAACTGACATCTGCAAAACAGGTCCTACCTACCAAGTCACTAAGTTTACTAAAAGATGATTTTAAAGATTCCTTTATCCATAGTCTAATGACTCAACTAACATATGACAGGAAGAGCCATAACTTTGTCAAGCATTGGAAGAGGCTCCCCAGGAAAGCGGTTAAGTGGCCATCCTTAGAGACATCTGGCTGAGAGAGCTAGGGCTCATTAGCCTGGAGAATGTTTTGGGGAGACCTGCAGTACTCCCAGCAGCCTTTCAGTACTTGTAAAGAAGATGAGGACAGACCTCTAAACAGGGTCTGCAGCATCAGGACGACGGGTAATGGTTTTAAACTAAATGAAAGCAGATTCACACAAGATACAAGGAAGACATTTTTTACAATGAGGGTGCTGAAACACTGCAACAGGTTGCCCAGAGAGCTGGTAGATGCCCCACCCCTGGAAACATTCAAGGTCAGGTTGGACAGGACTCTGAGCAACCCAACTGAGTTGAAGATGTTCCTGCATACTGCCCATGGGTTAGATTAGATGACCTTTAAAGGTCACTTCCAATCCAAATCATTATGATTCTGTGATTTAAGAAACACATAGACATGGTGCTTAGGGACATGGTTCAGTGGTGCACCTGGTAATACTAGGTTAACAGTCAGACTCAATGTTTTAAGGGTCTTTTTCCAATGATTCTATGGTAACTTGACATTTTGCACTCAAGTAATCATTTCTGAGCTTCACACCTCTGTGGCAGAACCTGATGGCACACAACTATGGCACCACTACGGCCCAGAGTGGCTCCATGTACATTGTTATTTCAATATAATGTGATCCCCAAGATGTTCCAGTCTAATACCATCTCTGTTCTGCCCCTCCTTCACTGGTCCTGAATGGGACCTTTAAACACTAACATTACTGTGACCAGCCTTATGACCAAGCTGCATAAGGTCAGTGGCACCACAGCTGTGACACATTTTCTTACTAATTTCTGGCATAAAAATTGTATTTATCACTTCCAGTGAGTGAGACATGGTAACTGGGATTGTCCACAAATTCTTCTTAGACATCAATTCCCCAAAAAGCATTTAAGTCTTTCCTGAAGGCAAGAAACACTCATTAAAAAAAAACCAAACCCAACCCAAAGCCATTAATACTTGTAAGTGAAGGAAATGAATTTTAGAAGTAGCAGAAGTCTGTCAAGAATTTTTAAAAATTCATATATATTTGTTTACACAGCAGCAAACTGTATGTGCTTTCTCCGTGATGCCTCAGGTGAAAGCTACTGCAGTTAGTGGTGGGTTTATATAAATCTGAACTAGCATTTCAGCAAAATCCAAGTGAAGCAGCTCCATTTCTGCTGTTTAACTGTTAGATGAACAGTTTCTGTAAGTAAGATAACCAGTGCATCCATTTACCTCCCACTCCAGTCATTTACCTTGGAGATATTTTTTCTTTCAAACTGTCCACTCTTGAGAGCTCAGCCTCAACTGGCAACTTTAAATTATAAATAACCTGAAATTAAGAAATACAGTCTTAGCTTCTACAGAAAAAGCATTATACAGGCACCTATTACCTGCAACATGACAAAGCCACAGTGACGTCTTTAAATTTTACAGAAAAACAAGTAAAAGGAGTTTATACCTTAACAGCCAATTCTCAATAATGTCTTCCTACATTGCTAAGACCTACTGGTTGGGGATTTTGTAATGTTAGCATGTCAACGAAAGCAGGAGTCAGATTTTCCTTTTGTATGAAGGGCTACTGAGAAGGTGATTTCTAAGAAAGAAGGTAGGCCTATGGGATGACAGGGATCTGCGCCATCTCCCTGAAGTCACACTGGGCAAGATGGAGTCAAATGACACAAAAAAAAAAAGGAGGGATCAGTCTTCTTTTTTTGGGTCAGATGAGAAAGACTTAAGTTTCTTCATATGGAAAGTGACAAATGGATGCAGGGAACAAGACAGTCTAAAAATCACACTACTTCAAAGAATGATGAGACCAATTATTCACCTGTTTTTTTCAATGTAAGGACTACAGAGGCTCCAAATGAAATAACTTGGTAGCACATTAGAAAGGACATGGAGTCATTTTATATACACTTCATTTTAATTATTAAAATGTGGAACTTGCTGCCACTGCACATGAATACATATACATAATGTACATATGTACACACACATGCACGTTGCCACACGCATTATGAGGACATTCAAGAAGTGTTACGCAAGGTCATGACAAAAGGAGGTAAGATTTACTTAATGATCGTAATGTATCCTACCAATTGTGAAATCCTTAACCTTCAAATTCCTATGTTCACTGAATGCCCAGGTTCTTAGATTCTGCCTCTGAGCATCTTTTCCTCTCTGTTGTCAGAGACAAGAGACTTAACAGGATGGGCTTTTGGTCTGATACAACATGGCAAGGATTCTCTGATTCTAAGTAGCGTGGGTTTCTATGGACAGCAGGTATGATGGGGAGGAAAAATGGAAGTCAAGGCCTGGAACCAAGAGGATCAGGAAAGCATGGCTACTGATTCTGGAGTAGTTCAATGAGAAGGTTGGAGAGCTCTGGAATGGGAAATGCTTGGAGACTTCCGAAGTACCGGCATCACTTCCCTTTCACTGGTCAGTACAGCGAGTGACACAGTCCTCCTGTCCTCCTCCTCCACTTGCTGTTTCAGAAAGCAAGCTGTTCAAGGCAAGGACCATCTTTTTTGTTTCACAACAGTCACCAGACCCTAATTTGTGACCAAGACCGAATACAAATTGTGTGTGTGAAGAGGTGCCGTAAGAATACACAACTCCAAAAATCTCTCTACTGAAGTCAGCAAACTGAAAGGTAGATCACAGAAACTTTCCATCCAAATTTGAATATATCCATTAAAAATAAATTACTTCACAGTGCAAGAATGTAACTACCTGAGCAAGGTCACAATAGGTTCTTGCAGAAGGTGTAATTTTTAATTCCTCTGCAATCCTAATGGCACTAATCAAGCACCTTTTCTTCTCTTCAATGACCTCCTTGGCTTTTGCAATACCAGTACTGCAGCTGTTGATGCTGTTTTCTAACTCTGCACACAATTTCTTCTTCCTGTATTAAAAAAATTGTTTTTAGAATTTACTGAGCAGTCAGCCATACAATCTTCAACTAAAATACACAATAGCCATTTACTCCACAGTCCCAAGTAGACACATCTCACTGTGAAATATCATTTTCCTCAAAGGTTGAGGAGTAGAAAGCACAGAAAACCCACTTAATCAGAGAAACCACAGAAGTTAAAGAGTTCACACTGAAAAGTCACTTTGTTTGGATGTTTAAAGTGCTCTCCCATTCAAGCCTCCTCATGTTTCCATACACACCCAACTGGAAACTAACCAGTTGGATTTTACAGTAGTCTACGAAGATATCAGATCCCCCTTTCAGAAGCTTTTCTGGAATCCTAAGTTTTGACAACCCCTCCCCCTTAAATCTGAAGATACAAATATTTTTGAAAATGAAGAAGCAGTGTCCTCGGGCTTCTATTGGCTTGAAAATTTGCAGAAAATAAAATTTAAATTTAAAAAAGTTATTCTTGCTCTTAAACTGATCATCTACTAACTGCAGCATCAAAAAACACTCAAAACTGAGTTATTTCAGAAAGCTAACACCATGAAGACTGATTTTGTTTTTCTTTAAAGAGAAGAGGCTGCATAAGCTAGTGTTTTCCAGCCGTGCAAAACAGCTCCAAAATGGCACCATGAAAGGGCAAGAGTGTTGCACAATAACTGAAGGCGGGTTGTTACAAAATACTGCTACAAAAAAGAATTCTAAATAAAATTCCATTCTTCCATCTGAATTAGAAACAACTCCTTGATAAAAATAGCTCACCCCTGCCATCCTACAAAACAGATTACTACCTGAAGTGGAGAGAAGTAATAAGTTCATCAAATGTTCTATTTGCTGTTTCTGCAACTTTGTCTCCTTCCTCCTTCACTTTCAATTCCAAATATTTCAGCGTCTGTTTCGTACAGTAATCAATAAACATGCATTTATTATTACATTATCCATTATTATTCTTCCCACATTAAAATTTTAAAAATGCTGAACAGAAAACTGAGACAGTGACCAAAACTGCAGCACAATGACACTGAACCACATAAGAGTGACACTTAGATCAATTCTAGCTGTTAAATCCCTTTGTTTTCTCCAACCTCCAGTTCGCTCACACTGCCTGGGTCCTCCTGTCAGGTGAAGTTTTAGGTCTGTAAGGCAAGAACCAAGTCTACCTGGGTCCATTGCCTCACTTTCCTTACTTGACATTCTATGACAGCACCATACACAGATAACTATCATGCCAAGATCTGCTAGTTTTTAAAATTGTGAGCTTAAAAAAAAAAAAAAAAATAAAAAAATTCCTCCTCCTGCTAAACATCAGTTTGGCCACTATAGTTACGTTTAATGAAGAGATAAGAGACAAAAAAACCTCAGTAATGCAATACTGCTTTGCTAATTCTCAGTCTTTGTTCAAAAGCTGTTGGAAGACCACAGCTGTATGCATGAGTTATTATTATACTAGAGCCGCTGAAATGGTAGGTTTTTAAAAAATGCTTCTAGTGCATTTATCAGGTTTTTAACATAACTTTCCTTAGTAGACAGATCAGCCACTGCAACAAAACAAGTTACAAAGGCAATGGCAACCAGGTTTTAAGGACACTTCAGGCCACACCGATTACAATGGATTTGCTTTAAGCTTTTAGATCATAAAACACTTCTGGTTATCTTAGAATACATGTAAAATATAAATAAATGGAACAGACAGAACTGCAAGCTTTTCAACAGCATATTTAGTAAGAACTCAAGTTTAAATACAATAATTATCATTGATGAAGTTCATAGGTTACGCAGTAAAATCTGTTAACACCATTATCCAGTATCTTAGGAGTCTTCTTTTATTTTATACTGTGCACAAGAATGCATTACTTGATTTACATGTTTTGCATATTGTGTCTGTTAAAATTATTACTTCTGTTGCTCATACAATTTCTTTTCCACTTTTAAACCCAGAAGGTAAATCCAGAAGGAAATTTGTGAAAATTAGAAAGTTAGCACAGTTGCTAGAGCAAAAACAAATGCTGAATTTTACCCTGATCCAAGGAAACATAAGCTCAATACTTAAAGACTGACTTATATATGGTTCTGTTAAAATATATGGATTGACCTGTTAACTTTAAATTATGCATAGACTCACATACTCCTTTTACAGAGCACTCCTGTAGTCCATAAACTCGAGACTACAGTCTGGAGTTTAAACCTGTATATTCACAGAAGTAGCACAAACAGTTAAAGGACAAAAGAGATGTCAAAATGAAGGCAGTAAAAGCATGTTTAGATAGCATGTCAATGTGCGACTACTCATAACAAAAAGCTTCACAGAGGGCTAGGATTCAGTATTTCATTATTTATTTAACTTATCTTCACTCACCCCATCTGCATAATATAAGTGGCTGAGATTACCAACAGCTATGAACAAAGCTTCATCAATATCTTCCATAGTTTTCTTGTCCTGGGGAAACATTTGCCAATGAAAATAAAGTTGCTTGGATGACTAGAAGACAAGATGGGCTATACCTGTTTGCCATTTTGACAGAGGCACTTGATATGGGTTACCAATGTAATCTGTATATGGCTACAAGCAGCTCTATAGCTGCCAACAGGTCCACAAGACTTATCTCACCCAAATGACACTGAGAAAATTTACACTGTAATATTTCTGAAACATTTCTTTGTTAAACACATTAAATTTATTTGCATACACAAAAAAAAACAAATGAAAAGAGTATGTGAAGGAAAAGCAGTATCAAGTTACTAATGCAGAACAAAGAAAACGTGCAAGATTGAAGAGTGGGTACTGCAGCCCAGAAAAAAAGTAGAATATTTAGAAACACCATTTGGGGAAAACCAACAGAAATAAATAAATGTGATAAGCTCCCAGTGTTATGCTGATGCAAGAAAAGACAACAAAATACCTGCGTATGACTCAGCACAGAAGCAAACACACATACAGAAACGTATTATTTTGTCAGTGGCAGCACTAAAGCCAGCGTTCAGAATACTGGTATTTTACTGAAGCAAAATGAGAACATCATCAGCTGGGGATGCCCCAAAAAGGCAGAGATGGTGCTGTGTAAGTCTGTCACTACTAGGCAATCAGTTCAGCTTGTCAAAAGGCAACTTAACATGCAAACACCTCAAATTTCTGAAGGGTTACTCATTAGTGTTAAGGAGAAAACTTAAGAGTTCAAAACCCTGAAATAATTCTGCCTCTGACCAGACATTGGTGTAAGTGAAACGAAGTGCTGCCTACAACCTGGTAGAGACCTGTTAGTCACACACATCATTATGGAGCTTATTAATGATATTTTTTGTCACCTTCAACTCCAGAACAACCTTCCAATTAATGCATCTCAACATCTTTGCCAACAATAATATATTGAAGTTTAAGAAAACACGTTACGGCTTTATTCAAATAGCCTTTTAATAAAAATGTTCAGAAAAGAAAATGATTCCTAAACTCTAATGGGCACTGTAACAAAACCACCCAAGTTACACTTCTTTCGAAGTAACTGTACAGATCAAGCTCCACAGAAGAAAGCAGGACTGGTACAGGAGCTATCACCCATTCCCATTTTACTCTGCCATTTAAAAATATCCACCACATTAGATCACCTGGCCTAAAATTTCACTAATGTCATTCCAGAAGATCAGGTTAGAAAACTTAATGGCATGTTTCAACAGAGAACCATTTGTCCAGCAACCCCGTTTCCCTCAATGACTACTTTATGGACGGGTCGTATGAGCCTTGCAGCTATCTTGAATGTAAGAAGAAAGAAAAAAAGCCCCCAACACAACTATTGTGTCCCCTCAGCCCTCTTTTAAGAGAAGCTAATGGTGGATGTCAAGAGGATGGGGCTGGTCTCTTTTTAGTAATGCCTAGCAATAGGACGAGGGGCAATAGGCACAAACTGGAAAGAGGAAGTTCCACCTCAGCATCAGGAAAAACTTCTTTCTTATGAGGGTGATGGAGCACTGGAGCAGGCTGCCCAGGGAGGCTGTGGAGTCTCCTTCTCTGGAGGCTTTCAAAACCCGCCTGGATGTGTTCCTGTGTAACCTGCCTTAGGTGAATCTGCTGTGGGAGGAGGGCTGGACTAGATGGCTTCCAGAGGTCCCTTCCAAACCCTACCATTCTGTGAAAATACAGTTTCACAGCCAGCTGAATACACTAGAACTCCTATGCTATGATCTGTTTGTGTTTGAGCTGCATTATATTTTGCCAAGTTATTTTACTTACACTGCAGCAGTACCTCAATTCTAGAACAGAATAATAGCATATAACTACTAAGGCTGCAGGGTTTTGTGTTTTAAGAAGTGCATATGCATATACAGAACTATTAACTATGCATATACAAAAATAATGAGTTGAGAACATAAGGAAATTCCATATTAACACACCGTGTTTGCTGATGGAGCTACAGCTGGTTTATCCTTCAGCCCACCATTTGAAGAGACCAGGTGCTTAACATTTCTGTCTCCAGTATCGTGATCGAAGGGCCTGCAAAACAAAACTTTAAGGAGAAAACCTACACTTTTTAAATAAAATACCAAAACTCCCTACAAATACTTTAAGACATAATTTGAGTATTTAAAAATCTGTCATTAAATATATACACACCTTTGTTTTTGACACAGTAGAATTCACACTGCAATATACTACAGATAGCTTGCTTTTCAAAGTTTCCTTTTCACTAGCAGCATTGCAAATTCATCTTTAGTAACTGTTTTTTCGTCTGACAATCTTAACAAAGCTGAACAAAACCCTAGTAGGTGGTAGTGAATTTTATCCTCAGTGAGTTAAACCCATGACTATTAACATTCCATGATGCATTTTTCATTCGTTGCCCAAATATTTTCTTTTAGATATCCCATCAGACACTGAGTTGGCTGTTAAGATCTTTAGAATACATGACAGATCACAGACTAAAACCATCTACTAACAATCTGTTAGTAGGCTCTTAATTCTGCTGTATGGTCACCCATACCTGCTCTTCTTCAACATATGCAGGGATCTAAGTGGCTATCAAGACTCTCCCAAGAGCAGTCTACCTAAGCCAGTGTAATTACAGCAAGAGAGCACTGCCTTGTTCTTCCTGTGCTCTGTTTGTGCTCCTGATGGCTACAGAACAGATCTGTGCAGAACAGATCCTTTATAGAACAGATCTGTAACACTGCCTTTCAATGGAATGTTATTTGTACTCAAGTGTCAAGCAAGTCATTCTCCCACAGTACTAGGCACCCAGACCAAGAAGACATTAGTAAAGCTTAAACAACACATTTGGGGGAAAAAAAAATCATCCCAAGAGAAACACCCAGATTTGCTTGTTTGGTCAAGTCCTCCCCCACACCTAAACACACAAAACACAGTTGAATTAATAAAGGTTTACCTTGCTTGCCTTTGCAAGTTGCCACCACACAGCCCAAGTTTAAAATCAGTTTTTGTCTAAATTCAAAGGGGAAAAACAAAGCAAGTTCAAACACAAGGTTAAATCCAAACCCAGTAAAAAATTATCTCTAAGACTCTTTTCACCATCAGGACCTCCCCCACTATTTCAGTGAGACCAAGCTTCAAAACAAGTGTTGTTGAATTGAGCAGTGAGAGGTGTAAGAACACACTTTCCAATCTGAAGCTCTGTAGCCATCAGTGGATCTTTGTGGTAAATGACAAGTGTTCCTAGTAAAAGGAACGCTGCTTTCCTTTTTGTTCTTAGTCTTTTTTCCACTGCTACGCAAAACTTCTAATGCATTGCATTACCGAACCTGATTACAACTTATTTTTACAGTAAAGTTTAATGACAGGGCCTAAATAAATAAGACTTTTCTTTTGCAATAAAGACTAGATCTCAACTTTATAGAACACCCTATCATTTGCATAAAGTAAAAATAAAAAAAAAAGCATTTGTTTGTCCAAAATATAGATTAGTATTAAGCATTAGTGTCTCACAACACAGAGAAGATTGACAAACAAGCTAATTTTTTTTTTAAATGCAGAAACAGCAATATATTTGTAAGTTATGTGCTACTCAACTATCAAGTTATATAAAATGAAATTGTTTTTAAAAAAAATCTTTTAAGGCATTTTATCTGGGAGCTGACAGGGAAAGATTTAAAAACAGAACCCCAAACCAACAAAACTCTTACAAATGCACCAGTTGCTTTCTTGCACATTATGTGCAGAGGAAAGGGTGGAACAGAGCTAGCAATGTGGGACACTAACGAGAACTGTAAAAAAACCCTTCAAAAACCCAGGCTTTGGACATCAGATGCACGGTCCTCAGGCTCATGTCATGAAGAGAAATGCTAGCAGACTTCCTGGGGAGCAGGTGGTTACCAAGGGCAGGCCCTTACCTCAGAGGGGACCCGAGCCTGGGCTTTAATCACTTCCAGTGAAAATGCAAAAGATCCTGTGATAACCACTATTTCAGACCACTATATCTGTGCAATGTGACTACTGCACAGAAAGCTTTAAATGGACTTACTTTTACAGAAGAGAAATACAAAAAATCCGTGTCTTCATCCTTCACATCAGCATGCAGCGCTGTAAAAGCAAGCACAAGAAACACATGGTCTGACCCTTGTTAACTGTCACATTAACCAAGGAGGCAAACAGGAACGTGTGATCATCAGAGTAGTCTTCTGGGTAGTATTCATCAAATCAACAGGAATTTGGACAATGCCTTTTGTAATGGCAGAATAAAAAAATGTAGGAACAGAAGTCCAGATGAACAGATATGGAAGTTATCTGGGAATTACAAAAACTTGCATTTAAAGATAAGGGTATCATCTGCATTATTAGCTGTGTTACACTGCTGCTACATTCAGGCCAGGATAAACACATGAAAGGGAAGGCAAAAAGGCAAAATAAAGCATATACTCAACTCCTGCAGCAGAGGAAAAAAAAAGCTTCATAAACCATCCATAAACACTATGTACTCAACACAATTTTGCAACTCATGGAAAAAAGAGCCCAGAAAATTGAGGCTTCTTTTACGATAAACTTTTCAGTAGCTTTGCCGAGAAAAACAGCAGGAGGGGAAGAGAAAGGTATTGACTGTTCTTGCCAAGTACCCGAAATGTAGTAAATAAACAATGCATTAATCAAATCTGCCACACCATCTATTGTCTTTAACACACCGTACACAATATAAATTAACAGTGAATACTGCACACCACAAAATTGCTGTAAATAAAGATCCAAAAGCCTTACCTTGCATACTCATAGCTTTTGACATAAGACACAAATCACTGCTTCTCTTATTTAGTTCTGGAAAATCCTCTTCTAGTATCTTAAGACATTGCCTTCTGAAGTTAAAGAACAGGTTTAAGATCATTAGGGATATCAACCAAACATGAATTCTGGCTTCCAGCTCTCTTAGAACTAAGCTTGCCCACTTTTACCAAATGACATTATGAAGAAGGTGTAGTTAAACACACACAAAACTTCTATTACCCTCTTTAGATTGCAGGAGAAGCTATTTACCACTGTGATACTGAATTCACCATCCATAAAGATAGTACTAGAGCTTTTAAGTACGCAGCATTTAAAGTAACTAAAATCATCATTATTAAGTTGTTACACACTCTATTTTAATAATATTAATTCCATTAGTATTTAAAGAAAACTATACCGAATAGGTCAACAGTGACTTATTTACTTGTGAAACATACATACAGATCAAAAAGAGATACTGGTAGCCTAGTAACTCAGTATGCAACCACACGTTTTACACACATACATAACATAACAATGGACTCACAGCACTGCAGAATACAAGCATTATTTTCTACATTTCTTCAGTGCTACTTCCTAATAATTATATTGTCAGAATTTAAAAATACTAAAGCTGCTAGAGTAATCTCAAAATTCACATTTCTTACAGCATTAATTATTCTTCTACTAAGTTCCTTATTACTGTCATCCACCAAGAACTCTTAATACTCATGATGGTGTCTAACTTAAAAAAAAAAAAAGTGACAGATTCTCTACAACATACACATTTCATCACTTGATGAAACACTACAGGCTTTTTACATCACTTGGCAGGGTAAAATGAAAAAGACACAAATTCATAGAAAAAACACATCTGTTTTTTCTTTGAAAACCAGATTTTTTTACACGGAGCAAAACACTGCCTTGCTTTCCACTATCCAGCTATGCTGCTCCATCCCTACCCTTAACAAGCAGCAAACACCCCCACTGGTCTTCAAACCTCCTTCTTCGTCATATATTCTCAAAAAGAATACTCTTTCGTGTCGTATCTCAGTACTGCAGGTTCATACCCTGTGATCCACAGTATATACCGACCCTGAGTCCCTTCCTCAAGGCCTGCAATCTAGCCTTCTGTATTAGGTAATTAACACCTAATACCACTGTATTAGGTATCTACACCTCTCCTGCCCCCTTCCCCTTTGCCGGTGATGAGGCGGGAGCAGGGACATACCGAGACCGCCGGGAACAGGAGCAGAGGGGACGGGAAAGGACGAGAAGGTACGGGAGGAGAGAGAAGTGAAGGCGGCTCCCCTCAGCACGACGGACAACCAACCACCCGTCACCCGCCAAAACCGCTCCCCCTCCCACCAATCGCCGAGCACTTCTCTCACTCACAGCTGGAGGGGGCGGGCGGCCGTTGCCGTGCCCCGCGCGGGCAGGCTTCGCCGCCATGTTGGTACCCTGAAGCGTGCCGGCGCTGCCTGCATTGACTCACCGCCTCGGGCTGCCCTGAGCCCCGCTCGGCTTCTCCTGCCCGGGGACCGGAGCGCCTACCCTGAAAATGGCGGTTTCTGAGCTAGAGGCCGTTAAGTCCGTGTTTTGGGATTAATTTATTCTGCATGCATTCTCGCTATTTGCAGAACAAGTGAGATATGCTTTTTCAGTGTTCTACCGCTCCCGTTTCTGCTCTCATAAGTGTAGGATGATACTCTCACCGTAAAATCCCGGTCATATAACAAAACCCCCTGAGAGTCAATCGAGAGTTTTAGAAGGCAGGCACGCTGTCATATCTCTGTGCACAAGAGAGACAGCTCCTCCTCGTGTGCATGCCGGAAACTGCAATAGTCGCGGCTCATGTTACCCCGCTTATACATCTGTATCAAATGTCATACGTATTCATTATAATCTTCATATTAATTACGCATGCGCTTTGAGCCCTCTAGACTCTTCTGCGAGTCTTCGGTGATATTCAGGGGTTGTTCTGAGGTGTCCTGTAGTTGAACTTTCCTGGAGGGCATGCACAATGTTGGCTTGCTTATATAAACTGATTTTTTTCTTTGCCACCACCAGCCTCAGCCACCCCCACCACAAAGTTCCCGTCTTTACAACCTAAGTGTTTAAAAACTGTTAAGGCAATCAACATAGAAGGCAACCACAAAGATAAAACTGGAACTCTCTGTTTTGCCTTATGACCTAATGCATCAATACCCTCCAAATTTCTGTTTAAATCACCTTAATTGAACTACAGTTAGTTTTTAAAACACTGATTTCCCCCTGCAACTTCCAGAATCTTGCTAAACCACGAACTAGGCCAGCTTTCTGAGAAGCAAGTTTCCTAACAAAACTTAGGTTATCGGTATTTTTGCACTGGTCACTCAGTAAAAGTAGGTTCTACCCCACACTTTTAATTTTAATTGTACTAAGTGTTTGTCAGGCTGGAGTTTTGACTTGGGTAATAAGGCAGAGTCTGAAAGGTCTGATCCAGATTTTCTTTAACGATAGGGAGTGCTTGTGTGGTGTGGCCAAGGCAAACAAATTCTGTTAAGGAGCCAAAGGAGAAGACTGCAGTCCTGCCTGTTAAAATGACAGAAGAAGAAGTTCTTAATAGTGGGGAAGAAAGCATGAAGAAAGGAGCAATAAAGTTTAAAAATTAGCCAACTCTGTGGAGCTAGGTCCTCACCTACTATTTGGTAAATCACCCAAATCAAGCAAGCTCACATCAGTTTCCTTTATCTATGATTGAATTCATGTGATTTGTGAGGGGCAGAACTTTCCAGAAGTTACCCTCAAACTGATTCAGCTTGTAAATAATTTCCCCCTGACGTCCTTATCGTTAACCAGAACCTGATTAGATTTGACTTTGTATAAAATCCTTGTGAAAATCTGCTGTCAAATTTTACCAGTGTGCCTTATGCTCAGTCTGGTCCTACTTGGTGTGGTTTGGCCAACTGAAAGTCTGTAGGAAACCATGTTTTTGAGACTAAAAGTCAGTATGTACCAGGCTGAACCAAAACATACATTATAATTTCTCATTGCTAGTAGTACATTTTTCAAAAACAATCTCCAAAAAAGTCCTATGAAATACTGTGAAAAGACAGGGCTGAGAACTGAAATTCTTATTTCTCCTTGACTTTAAAATGTCTGGATTCAAGTTAGATATTGGTTCCATGGCACATGATCATGATCTCATCTTCAGCTAGCCATGCTCCACAGGCAGCAAATTAACCATGTCTCTCTTTGTCCCCTAAGAGCTAACACTCTTCTGCTCTGTAAATACCAGTTGTCTTTTCTCTCAGATTCTCCAACCAGTTTTTGCAGTGAAATTAAAATCTCAGCAGTTTTCTCAACTTGTATTTAGCTTGGGAAATGGATTGTTCTCTTTCAAAGGTGTGGAAAGGCATGTGCACCCAAAATTTTGTCTTTATCCCTTGTATTCCATGTTAATTCCCATTTATAAATTATCTCTTATAAACGTTACTTAAGGACAGAGTGAATTACAACTGAGGGGTAAAATACAAGATGGATGATGGCAGACCTGTTCTGGATGTAGCAAAGAAAGGAAAATGATAGGAAAGATTGCCTTGGTTAAAGGTGTGAATGCAATTTGAAACCAAAAGCATACAGGATTTTCTACAAAGTAGCCTAACTAGCTCTTTGATGTGAAGCCAAATTAGACTTAATTAGCTCTTTGGAGGGAAGACAGACCTTGTTTATATTTCAAATTTAGTTCCATTTAATAATGTGACCGATAGCAACAAATGCTCATGTTAAAATTTCCTACTTATGAACTTGTCAAAAATTCATAAAAATATAGCTGCACATTTGGTTTTCTATGCCCTTACAAAGAATTATAGAACATATAAATGCAGGTTATGTTATATATCATGCATATATTAAATTTGTTTATGGCTCTGTCAACCTATACATGAAAGGCTAAATGTACACTGTGGCCCTTCAGTTTTACATTCATACCACTCTGAAAATGGGAAGACAAAACTGGCAACTTGATTTATTATTTCTGAAAATACAATTACAATAGTAATTTTCCAGAAAAGAAGGAACACCTTCTGTCTCTGCCGTTAGCTATTCAGAGACCATTACGATGTTTCTTAACTTTATATGGTATGTAAAATGCAGGCGATGTAGAAGTCAGTGTTTCTAATGTGGGTAACCACGAGATGGCAGCATGGATTAACACTGGGTGGACTCAGGGGTCACCTTCTGCTTGGAGAAGTGTGAGCTCAGCCGCTTCACTGGCTTTGTCTGTGTTAGAAAATCCACTGTACTAGAAAGATAATACTGTTGGCTTTGGTGTGAACAATGTAGTTGTATTTAAAAGTCATAGTCAAATGCAGGTTGAAAACACATATTTATTGTCTAGATTCTCTTTCCAGCTGGTTGTTATTTCTTCAAATGTATCCTCCTTTCTCATCCTTTGTATCTTGCACTTTCTCAATAAGAATTTCTGTTTTCAAAGTTTAATGACTATATGCACTAAAATTGGAGAGTGTTTGGGTATTTTTGTTTTGTTGTTGTTGTTTGGGTTTGTTTTGTTTTGTCATTTAAATGATAGATTCTGTAAATGCATACTTGCTTATTCAGTATGTAAGAGTTACTGGAAATTTCTGTAGTGTGGCCCCTGTATTCCATGTTAATTCCCATTTATAAATTATCTCTTATAAACGTTACTTAAGGACAGAGTGAATTACAACTGAGGGGTAAAATACAAGATGGATGATGGCAGACCTGTTCTGGATGTAGCAAAGAAAGGAAAATGATAGGAAAGATTGCCTTGGTTAAAGGTGTGAATGCAATTTGAAACCAAAAGCATACAGGATTTTCTACAAAGTAGCCTAACTAGCTCTTTGATGTGAAGCCAAATTAGACTTAATTAGCTCTTTGGAGGGAAGACAGACCTTGTTTATATTTCAAATTTAGTTCCATTTAATAATGTGACCGATAGCAGTAAGTAAGTAAACACATGGTAAGTAGAGAAATAGTTTTCCCCTAAATATTATGTGAGAGGCTGCACTTGGAGAAGGAAGGAGGGCTGTTATATTAGTGTAGACAGGTAGACAGGGCCAAATACAATGTTTCAGAGAAGTTTGTAGATGGGGGATGTGCAGCTGTATTGGAAGTATGATTCTGTCAATGACATGCTAATTACATAGTGTTAACAACTGAATTACCTGCTTTCTAAGATTTACACGAGTTAGATAAGTAATTGCAAAATGTTGTGATAGTCTAACAGAGAGACACTGATACTTGAGGGAAATGCACTTTATCTAAACTTCTCACCCACAGTTTCTGGCTCATAATATTTATAAATGTCTTTCTGAACAATCCCAGGTTTAGGTTACTTATACTATGAAAAGGATTAGGCTTTTCAAGCTCATCAAGTTTTTTGTTAGCAGGGGTGTACATGCTAGTGATTTCTAGTATTACCCAAATGTGTGTAATTTCTAATCTACCATTACAGCAGGTATTTTCTCCGGGGAAGTTTCTACCATTATAAAGTTAATTTTTATAACTGTATTATCTGGAAGCAGTCATTCAAGTAAAAGTTATTGTTTACTCATCTTCAGTTAAGAAGTTTCTTTTATCACTGTGCCTAAAATGACTTTTTATGACCAGTAGAGGTTGATCTAAACCTGTGTTGTTGCTGAGAGAGTAGGTCTTACATTTTCTCATCCCAGATGTGTGTTCACCCTTCCCTTGTGTTACCACTAGTGTTTCTAGAACTGTATGGTGAGCTGGATCTGTGGGTTGCTGTTGGGTAATTATTTAGTTCCCTCATATTTTGTACAGGAGTCTTGTATCTTTGCATTTAACAATGCAGTCAGTGGCTGTTCTTACATGGTCATGACCTCATCATATTAGTTATTGGGCACTGGTATTCAGTAGCTAGTATTTATCTAATTTTCTATGAATGACATTAATTGCAGAAATGTCACTTTTTTTTATTTTTTATCCACCTTATTTTTTAAAAACATTAAACTCTCTGGAAATGTAATGGTGGACAGTTTGGTCCTAGGTAGTTTTGTGGCATATGTAGGGAACTCACACTACAGAATCTTCTGTACAGAATTTTGTCTACAGAATCATTTTTTTCTGTTTAAAGCACAGTGTAAGAAATTTACTAAGTCTGTCTTTAGGTATATGAATTCATAGGTATAAAAGTGTTTAAGATGTTACTGTGATTTTATAAGACACTATTAATGCATGAATCAATCTTTCATCCTTTAAAACTCCTCTTACAAGCTTTTTACTGTGCCTTTTAAAAAAAGATTGTCTTTTTTTTTGCATGTAGGGCAATAGCAACCAGAGGTTGCATTGTGAGTTACCCTTGTCCGTTGTGCTCAGCTGCTGAATCTGGGAGCCTGACAGGGGTGAGGTTATTGCAACTCCACCTCTGCAGGTCCAGCCAGTAGCGAGGCTGAGTATGTATTCAC